ATAAACCCACCCATTCCTCCCATCCCTGGATTGTTTTAAAGTAGTTCCAGCTATTATTTCTTATGTAAATATTTCAGTACTACTCTACTATATGTATGTATATATATATGCACATAGATGACCATTCAATTAGCACACACAGAAAACTCTTACAATTAACATAAGGAGCCATGGTGGCAAAGTGGGTTACATGATGGGCTGCCAACTCAGAGGTCAGCAGTCTGACACCACCAGTCACGCCATGGGGGTAAGTTGAGGATCTCTTCTCTCATAAAGAGTTATAATCTGGGAAATCCACAGGGGGAGTTCTGCCCTGTAGCATCACTATAAGTCAGCATCAACTTAATGGAAATGAGTTTGACTGTTTTGAGACTTGATCTTATAAATGTTCCAGGCAATGTTCAGTATTTCCTGATGGCTCCTCCTCCTTACCGGCCCCTAGCCTGTGTAAGGATCTAAATAAAGTCTCTGTGTTTCAATTCGTTGGAAGTCTATTGAATCTTTTCAATCTCTAAGTTCCTTCCCACCTCATTTTTCCCATTCCACAGTGAAACCTGTGAGAGCCACAACCATCCAGTCAACTTGTGCTTTTGATGTCTCACAAGTTTGCTGCCTCTGACAGGGTGCAGCTTACCACTTTTTATCACTCATTTCTGTGGAAATACTTGATTTTTCCTTTTCTGACAGATTTCTGCTTTACACAGTTCTAGCTTTCATCGATTTCACTGTCATTTATTTTCAGAAGGATCACTTTTTTTTTCTCCTTCACCTACAATTGCCTAAAACTCATGAGTGAGAAGGAACAATAGAAGCTTCCATTTCTAAGAAATGATTGTTGGTGTTGGGTGCCCTGGATGCCAACTCATAGTGGCCCTATATATACAACAGAACAAAATACCGTGCAGTCTTGAGCCACACTCAGACTGGTATTTTTGTTTGAGCCCATGTTTGCAGCAACTGTGTCCATCCATCTCATCCAGGGCCTGCCTGCCTTCTTTGTCGCTGCCCCTCTGTTTTACCCAGCATTATGGCCTTCTTCACGTACTGGTCAGTCCTGATAACATGTCCAAAGTACAGGAGACCAAGTCTTGCCATCTTTGCACCCAAGGAGCATTCTGGGGCATGTCTGTTTTTCCAAGAGAGATTAGTTTGTATATTTGGCAGTCCACGGTACCTTAAAATTCTTCGCCAATACCATGGTTCAAATGCATTGATTTTTATTTCTTCAGTCTTCTTTATTCAGTGTCCAACTTTCACATGCATCTGAGGAGATTGAAAATATCATGGCTTGGGTCAGGGGTACCTTAGTCAACAAAGTAAACTCCTTGCTTTTCAACATTTTAAAGAGATCTTGTACAACAGATTTATCTAATGCCATACACCGTTGGATCTCTTGACTGCTGCTTCCATGAGTATTGGTTGTGGATTCAAGCAAGATGAACCCTTGACAAATCCAATCTTTTCTCCATTTATCATGATGTTACCTATTGGTCCGGTTCTGAGGATTTTGGTTTTCTGTAAATTGAGCTGTCATCCATACTGCAGACTGTAATCCTTGATCTTTATCAGCAAGTGCTTCAAGTCCTCCTCACGTTCTGCAAGGAGAGTCATAGCTCAGGCTGTTAATAAGCTCAGGCTGTTAATAAGCCCTCCTTCAATCCTGATACCACATTCTTCTTCATATAGTCCAGCTTCTCTGTTGATTTGCTCAGCAGACAGATCATTTTTATGTCTTTAAAAATTCTCAACACCCCACCACCACCACCTAAATGTGAAATAAATGAAAAACTGAATTTTAAAACTGCTCATATGGTTTATTTCCCTCATCTTTAAGCTTCAGAGCTGGGCAAATTCTTGGAACCAACCTAATAGCATGTTCTGATAATTTTAAAACCACAACCTGTAGTAAGAAAGCCACTGAAAAAAAGAAACCATAAGAAAATGAACATCACTGCCATTGTGTTGGTTTCAACTCATGGTAACACCATACATTACAGCTGAACTGCTCCATGAGTTTTCTTGGCCATAAACTCTATGTAAACAGCCAGGCCTTTCTCCCACAGGAAATATACTAGAGATGCACTCAAAGCTCACAACCTACAGTTTTAAAATACCCTTCTAACCAGTTCCCTATGCATTATGCAGTTCATTATCAGAGCAGGACGTACTACTGGGTTAGTCTAGTTTGACTAAAGAAACAAATCCATAGACATATGTGTAAGTAAGAACTTTATATAAAAGAGCAATTGTATATTGAGAAAACATCCCAGCCCAGTCCAGTACAAGTCCATAAGTCCGGTCTTAGCCCATATGTCCGATCCTAGTCCATAAATTCCTCTTCAGACTTACACAGCACATGCAATGATGCCAATTGCAGGAAGATCACAGGACAGTGGGTAGAAAGTCTTGTGGATCCAGTGGCAGTGTAAGCATCTCAATGCTGACACGGGTCTCCACATGACTCTCCCAGCTCTCTGAGTGTCTCAACAGCAAGGAAAGGAAGGCAGAGAGAGTGGGTCTGACCTCCAGTGAGCTGTTTCTCTCCTCCAAATGAGGTCATCAAGCTGAGACTTGATTGACAGGCTAGACTCCACCCCTTCTATCAAGTTGACAGGAGATTATGCAACTGCTACACATACCATGCCCAGGATGACCAGGCAACCATGTAAGAAACTAAGAAAAACTCACTATCCTAGAGTAAATTCCTAGTCATAGCAACTCTAAAGGACAGGGTGGAACTGCCTCTGAATTTGAGGCTGTACATCTTTTTGCTGTTGTTAGGTACTGTCAAGTCGGTTCCAAATCATAGCCGCCTTATGTACAACAGAGTGAAACACTATCCAGTCTTGTGCTCTCTCACACTTGTCCTTATGTTTGAACTCATTGATGCACCCACGGTATCAATCCATCTTGTTGAAGTTGTCTTTTTGCCTCCCTGCTACTTTACCAAGCATGACGTCCTTCTCCAGGGACTGGTCTCTCCTGGTAACGTGTCCAAAGTACATGAGACGGAGTCTTACCATCCTTGCCTCTAAAGAGCATTCTCACTGTACTTTTTCCAAGACAGATCTGTTGGTTATTTTGGCAGTCCATGGTATCTTCAAAATTCCTCATCAGCACCATAGTTCAAATGCATTGATTTTTCTTCGGTCTTTACATCTGTACATCTTTACAGAGACAGAAAGCCTCATTTTTCTCTTGTGCAGGGTTTGAAAGGCTGATGTTGTGTTTAGCAACCCAAATATAACTCACTACACTACCAGGGATCTCTATGTGAGAAAGGGGACAGAACATGGATTCAAAGTTAGGTTATGGGCTAGGAATCAGAGAGCCCAAGTTTCAGTCATTGTTCTGTGTTTTTGGCAGCATGACCTTAGACAAGTTATTTATGTCAACTGTTTTTTTTTCCTGTTTTTTTCCCCCCAATATAACAAATAAAATAAGTAATATAATATCACTTGCCTCTAATTGGTGACCATGGCCATGAGTCATTCTGACATAACAGCCCTATAGGATAGAATAGAACTGCCCTATATGGTTTCCAAAGCTATCCATCTTGATGGAAACACTCTCCTTCATTTTTCTCTCACTGGTGGGCTCGGACTGCTGCTGTTTCAGTTAACAATTGAGATCTTAGGTACATTACTACTAGAACTCTTTGCCTCAAAATGATAGGACAATTAAATGGAATATGTAAACTCTTGTGCATAGTGCCTGGCCGGCTTGTACTAATTATATATTTCATAATGGGAGGGTAATTGTATAATAATTTTAAAGTGTATTTTATTTTTTTGTTTGTTTTCCCAAAGAAATTATTACAAAAATGAATTATAGCCATCTGGATTGGAACACCTGGATTTTGCAGTATTATTTTTCCCCTGAAACACCTACACACCCTAAAAGAAAATTCTTACACTTTGTTTTTAGAAGTTTGTTATACTGGTTTGGAGTACTCTGGAGGTTTAAGGGTTAAATCCTAAGACAAATCAGGGTTAAGAGTAAAAGTTGCTGTTTAGTCTTTTTGGACAAACTTATGTTTTGATTTTGCTATATTTTGAAAAGCTGGAATGTACTGTAAATGCTTATAGTGTGCTGATAGAAATTATTTTCCCTATTTTTTAGTTGAATCTTTGTGGGTGATCATCTCTAAATGAATGGTAAAAATTAATGTCCTGCCATATCAGAGGCTGGATTAGAGATGATAAAAATAAATATAATAGTAGGAAATTAGAAGCAGGCCTCAGGAGGCAGAAGCGTTCCACATCTCCTAGTACAATGCACCGTACTCTTGAAGTGAAATGAGGGAAGGTATTTGATAATAACTATAGCTCAAGAGAAGGAATGGGTGAAGGGGCACAATGAGGATGTTCCAGGGCAAAGTCTGCCTTAGAACTACAGACTCCATTTGTGATTGAAGCAACAATTTCATTCATGAAAATTAGCACAAGATTGGCCCATAGAAAACGGAGGCTGAATTTTTCCCGAATGCCCCACTTTTCCAAACTGCTGTACCACTCCCTCACTTCTGACATCAGCTGTCACCGTCTCCCCTCAGTGTACTCCCTCCCTTTCCTGGGTTCTGCAACTTATGCAATGGCCACTGTGAATTCACAGTGTAAGGGATAATAATAATGGCTCACATCTTGTCTTGTGGCGGCTGTTAAGTCCCAAGCCAAAAGTTACACATCCATCTGGAGGCTCCTTCTTATCCCCAAACTGTGGAAGCTGGAGAAATCAGATCCAAGAACCTGATTCAGGAGCAGGAGTGGAGTGCTACTGCATCCCTCGCTGGTAGAGATCCCTCTCCTGCTTCTCAGAGGGTTCATTACATACACAGCAGGAGGGCAATCACAATTTACCCTGCTAGCAATTGCTCACAGGTCAGTCCTACCAGTGTCTTCCTCCCACCACCTACCTCCCAGACAGGTACAGGAAAAAGTCAGTTGATGGGACTTTCTAGCCAAAGACGTTGACTAGAAGCACCACATTAAATAATTCCTTGTTCCTACAATGAGTCTCTTATTCCTTATGTTACAGATGCCTTATTAGAAGAACTGGAAAACTCCACTCTGCGGGACAGTGATGAATATTCCAACCCAGCCTCTCCTGTGGACCAGCATCGCAGAAAGGAGACTAACCTTACAGAGGCTTCTAAGGCTCTTTCTGCCCAGGATGACACAGCTCCCATTCAGGTAACTTCTCAATTCTTGGATTACCTTCAATATAGTTGCTTGAAGGCACATTTGAAAACTAACATATCCCACATACAATGGGGAAAGGGGGGAGGAAGAGAAGACAAACATTTATTCTCAGTGGTAAAGATGGTTATTTTCAGAAAAAGGAGAAGTGTGAAAATTCTGACAGAAGAATAAGCCTTTGAGAGTTGCATGTTTCTTGTGAGGGATGGTAAGAGGTAGAAGATTCCCCTCCTTATATTTCTGTCTACGTAACATCTATCAGAGATGCTGTTGCTGCCTGACTGGATGGTGTGAGTTTGGTTTAGTTTGGAGAAATCTACATGTGCCTGCATTATAATTAAACTTTTGCTTGATGAGAATTTAGTATAAATTCACTGCCATCGAGTCGATGGTGACTCATAGCTACCCTCTAGGACAAGGTCAAACCGACACTTTGATTTTGCAAGACTGTAACTGTTCATGGGGAGAGAGAGCCCTGTCTTTGTCCTGAGGGTCAGCTGGTGGTTTTGAGCAGCTGATCGTTCCGATCACAGCCACTAGGGCTCCCCGTGAAGTAGTGGAAAAGGGATTCGATAGCTGCTCTCTGGATCTGGTGTTAAACTCTGATACCCTCATGTATCCAGGTACACTTGTGACATAACCAGCAACGCAGGCCTGGAATTTTAGCTCATGGGGAGGCGACCACTCGAGCTACTCTTTCCTCCAGCCAGATACACACACGTATAAGGACACACATTCTCTCTCTCTGCCAGGGAGCTACTGCCCTCTTTCTTGCTGCTGGGTTATAGCAATAGGCTCCCAGCTGCCTCCCTGCCCTTCCCCTTTCCAGCCTCTTCTCACGGAGCAGCCAGAGTGATCCTTTAAAGCCCAAGTCAGATCAAGTCATTCATCCACTCAAAGCCCTGCAGTAACTTCCCACCACAGTAAATGCCTTAGTTCTTGGGCGAAGGGAGACAATGGACAGTGTACGATATGAAATAATAATAACAATATATAATTGATCAAGTGCTCACAAGGGTGGGAAGATGGGGGAGGGAGAGGGAAAAGGAGCTGATACCAAGGGCTCAAGTAGAAAATGTTTTGAAAATGATGATGGAAACATGTACAAAATGCTTGATACTGTTGATGTATGGAATGTTATAAGAACTGTAAGAGCTCCCAATAAAATGATTAAAAATCCCCAAAAGCCATAGTTCTGACACTGACCTCCTGGGCTGACAATTTGTTCTAGTTCAGCCAGGGATCATGCCTATTTTCCTAGTATCCTATTAATATAACTTTTGTCTCATATTTTAGTTGTTTTATAAACTTTTATTACTTGCATTTGCATTAAAACAAGCTACCATGGGTTCACTGGCCCCCATTATCTGGTTCTTTTGGCTTCTTCTATGGAGTTAGGCCGGGTTGACTAGAGAAACGAATCCAGTGACACTCATGTATGTATAGGAGAACTTTACAGCAACAACTAATTATATATCAAGAAAGCATCCCAGCCCAGTCCAACTCAAGTCCGTAAGTCCAATAATAATCCATAAGTCCCTCTTCAGACTCATGCAGCCAGATGCAATGATGCAAAATGCAGGAAGAACACAAGCTGGTGGGTACAAAGTCAGGAGGATTTAATGGCAATGGCGGCATCACAGCGCTCACAGCAAAGAGAGAGGGGAATAGAGGAGAGGGGGAGAGAGGGGAAGAGGGAAGGGAGAAGAGGGGAGGGGAGGAGAGGAGATCCCCAGGACTCCCCTTATAAGGCCATGCCCACAAGGCGGTACTATCAGACTATGACCTGATTGACGGGCTAGACTCCACCCCTACACTTTTATAAACCTTCAGTTGACATGAAGGTATGTAATTATCACATGTGGTCTCATATAGTAGTATATAAAAGATATGCACAGAAAACATTCTTACTTTATAGCTACATCCAAAAGATGACTAATGGTAACTTGTCTCTTTTTCCACATCTTGCTCAGACAACACCTAACTAGCAGTGTCTGTACAAAGCTAATCATCAAGGTGCTGTCTGTTAAGGAAGGAGCCCTGGTTATGTAATGGTTAAGTGCCTACCTACTAACCAGAAGGCCAGTGGGAACCTATCAGCTTTTGCATAGGAGAAAAGACCTGGCGATCCACTTCGGTAAAGATTACAACTTTGGACACCCTATGGGATAGCTCTGCTCTGTCCCATAAGGGTCGCTATGAGTTGCAAGCAAATTGAAGGCAACCGGTCATTTGCTAAAGCTAACTGAGGCACAAGCAGCTAGAAATCACTAACTACTGTTGTGAGGCTGTTTCAGGAAAATTGTGCTGCTCTTTCCCATGCTGAATAATTGGTATAATGCCACTTTTGCCATGGCCCAAGTGGTGGCCTGTGAGACTCACTGAATCTCTGGGTCAGTGGGCTTATTATCATACTAATTATGTTTAGGAATGAGACTGAGAATTTTTCCATACAAAGCATAACATAGTTTAAATTTTCTTGTTATAGTATTTTCCTCATTAATTGTAAGTATAAGGCTATGTGTTTAAATTTTTTAATTTAGTTATAGATTTTCTGAGTTCAAATTGTTTAGATGGTAGTGGATAATGGATAAAGCAATTCCAACTATAGCTATTATTATTTTCTAACAAACATTTTTGCCATAAGTCCTTTGTTGTTTGTGAGCATCAGTTGGCTCAAAAACAAAACTAAACCAAAAGTATATGCTAAATTTTCTCAAGGGAGTTGATGATGAATTGAACCCAGATTTAAAACAGATTTCATTTGATTCCTGGAATTTGCACAAAACATTTCTCAGCATTTGCCATTCACCCTGAAAGCAGTTTCACTGTCCCTTTGAAAGCCAGAAGACACAGATATGATGCAAAAGCATCAGCATCTACTTCAAAAGTTAACACTGACTCTGAGACAGATGTGCCCAAAGATGGCGATTTAGGGTGTGCAGCTGAGAGAGGTGTGTTTACAGGTTACGGTGGAACACGCATTACATTTGGATCAAACAACTCAATGAATTTGGCTCATTTTCAAATCGACATTTTCTTGGGCTTGTAAAGTAAAAAGGACGGGTGATGAGTAACGAGTTCATTCCCTTTGGAAATGGTTAAATGCTGTCCATTTTATCTCTTGCTACCCTGGTTGTATAATGGTTAAATGTTGCGCTGCCAACCGAAGGGTCAACGGTTTCTCATCACCAGCAGGACCAATAAGAGACTTCCTAATTCCATGAAGAGTTAGTTTCAGAAACCCACAGGGGCAGTCCTACCTTGTCCTATACCGTCTCGCTATGGGTCAGAATCAACTCAAAGGCAGTAAGATCCAGAGGCATCAATGAGAATATCTATGAATTCCAAAATGGTTCTCTTTTTTCCCTCCATCCAGTCCAAAGGATCCAATAAGGCATTTAGATGTGCTTTGGTCAAAAACGAAACATATGGCATGACTAATGTAAATTAAATGCAAAGTTCAACACTGACCATTGTTTATGGAGTAGTAATATGAATAAAAATTGGGGGGTGGGGTGGGCCTACAGCATTGTGTGAAAAACAAAGTTCTTATTGACTTAAGAGAACAGGGCAGCCATGGTGGAAAACTACACTGATACCCCAAAGGTTTTGTCAAAGAAGTGGAACACAGAAGTGATAAAACCCAGTAATCCCAGTCCCACCCAGAAGGAGTGAAAGTAGAAACACAAGCAGACATTTGCACAGCAGTGGACAGTGTATCGCTTTCCACAATAGCTACAAGGTGGAAACGTGCCAAATGCCCATCAGCTGATGAAGGGAATCTGACGCATACAAGAGACTTCTACCTCGGGGCCATTGAGTAGATTCCAACTCACAGCTGTTCTGCAGGACAGAGGGTTGTCTATGGTTGTAATCCCCGCCCCCCGTCCCACCCCCCACCCCATAGTTGTAATCTTTATGGAAGCAGACCACCACATCTTTCTCCCCCAGAGTGGCTAGGGGGTTCAAACTGCTGACCTTTTAGTTAGCGGTCAAATGTTTCAATATTGTTCACAAAGGCTCTCACCTAGAAAGAGAAATGAAGTCCTGATACATGACCCAATGTGAATGAACCTTGAAAACAGCATACTAAATCAATCGATCTGCAAAAGAATACGGTATGATTTCACCCATATGAAAGAAGCTTATGTATAGAAAACAAAGATTCCTAGTAGTTCCCAGGAGTGGGGAGGAGAGGGGGATGCTATGCCTGGGGGCATTACGTGTAGGTTAAAGGTGGTTGAAGAGGGCAGAGAAAATGAGGAAAGGGGACAGAATGTGAAGAGTACAGTCCATGTCACTAATTGAACATGTGGAACTTGAGACAACTTCATTTTGTCATGCATATTCCACCCCAATTAAAAAGAACACAGCAGACCTAGGGAGTTGACATGTTGTAGTGCACACAAAACTCATGGTTCTACCCAAATAAGCTTCAATATTCTTATCTACATTGGAGCTTTAATTTTCAAACTTGACAAACATTTTATATATACGCAAAGTGCATATGACTTACCTACAGCATTGTTAGGATAACTGAAGTCGAATAAAGATGTCAGCATTATTGCACGTACAAAGCTAGGTAGAAAGGTATTGCTACTGGAATCCCAGGTCCCCCGAGCGCAGTTTATTCCAAACCAAATGTGCTGAAAGGTGTCCCTGCAGCCGGTGGACGGCTTCAGACAAGTTCTTGCAGTGAGCAGCTTGTCTTCGTCTTACAAGGAAAACAGTGGCTGCTGAGGGAATATGCTGGGCCAGTTAAATTCAAGACCGAAAGGTCAGCACAGAATGTTATAGCAACTGTTGTTTGGAGTTTCCAAATAGGTCATCTTGATTTTGAGGGGAGGACACCAGACAATCATAGGGGTTTCTTATGAAAACATTTTAAGAAAATTGGAAGCTGCGTTGTTGGAACAAAGACCAGGCTAAGTTACCTCAAGGATTCCCCGCCATCACGATACACCTGCTCATTCTTCAGTGTTTTCTTAGAAAGTAGCAAGAGCTGTGCTAGATTGTGTTGGAAAACCTGCCCCCATTCAAACTCCAGCCCTGATCTTGCTCCATCAAACTTTTTGTTCCCCAAACCCCAAAAATATTTTTAAAAGAAACAAAATCAGAACCCCTTGAGAAAAACAGAACTGCCCTTTTGATCGATGGTATAAATTTTATAAATGATAGTACTACCTTTGGAAGTGTAAAGAGGTAGGTGGAGGATAAATCAAGAAGCCACCGTTTTACATTTTAATTATTTGTATTTTATAAAGGTGTCTTTGATGTTGAAGCAACCCCTTTTGACTTACCTTGGTATTTCTTTGTTTTGCCCATCAGCAATCAGGTTTTAGAAATGCCTGAACTTTTTTTTTCTATTTCCAATTTTTTTAAATCATTTTATTGGAAATGCCTGAACTTTTGATCTATCTCTTTGGAAATCAATTTAAATTTAGGTTGCATTATGTTCAAAATCAGCTGGAAATCATTCATCAAATTATACAAATGAAGGAACATGAAAGTTCACCTTTAGGCAGATTACAAGTATGTAAAGCAAAGCTTGCAAAATGCAAGAAGCTTCCCCCTCCAAAAAAAAAAAAAATTTCAGGGAGGAACTGAACAAATGAGCAGATGCAATCCGGAATGGTTGGAAAGTTGTGCCTTGGAAAAACTTGACTTTGATCGAGCTCCTGCTTTTTATTAGATAATTTATATTTTCCATGAGAATGGAAGGAGATTGTGACGGCCTCTGATTTTTGCACCACCTGCATTTCAGGAACCATGACAAAGAATCACAAATAGAGGCACCGTAGGACTTTTTGTCTTATAAAATTGCTTCTTGAAGAAAGGTGCTCTGAATGGAGGCAGAAAGGCAGCACCTGTGAAAGTCTTGGGGCTAAAATACATACACATTTTGAAGTGAAAAACGGAGTCAATATCCTTAAGCAGAATTTGCTCTAATCTTTTATCAGCAGGTGGAGCCAGGAGCATTTTCTCAATTAAAAGTGTTACAGTCTAAAAGTATCAACAATTTCAAATACTTTACCACAAAGTGTGCTTTGGAGATTGAGATTTTATGTAAAACTTGAAAACAAGATTATATTGGAAAAAGAAAAACAAATCACTTTTTAGAAAAATTCCCCCAACACAGTGTTTTTGACAACAATGACTTGTTTACCAATTAGGCATCCAGATACAGCTCAAAAGTTTTTGCTTATGCTGTTTTGCACTGGGCTACTAACTGCAAGGGCAGCAGTTTGAAACCACCAGCCACTCTGAGTCCTCGGGAGAAAGATGAGGCTTTCTACTCCCGTAAAGCGTTACAGTCTCTGAAGCCCATAGGGACAGTTCAAACTATAGGGTCCCTGTCCTATAGGGTCTCCATGAGTCAGAATCAGCTCAATGGCAGTGAGACATGCGGCGATTTATAAATGTGCGGGTACTCCTTATAAAAGCTTTTATAAATCTTGCTTTACTGTTCATAGTTTCATTCATTTAGAACTTCCATTAAAAGATTGTATTTTCAGAACAATTAAGAAAATTATTTTATAGGTCTGCCAATATGATAACACCAAATCTCTGGTCCATAAATCAAGCAAACAGACCCCAACCTGTTGCCATGGAGTTGGTTCCAGCTCGTGGTGACCTCCCATGACACAGGTGCACCGTCCCAGAGCTGCTCCTCGGCTGTCATCTTTGTGAAAGCAGATCTCCAGGCCTCTGTGCCACAGCACCTCTGGGTGGTTCAAATGACCACCTTTTAGATTAGTCATGGACAGCAAACAGCTTTCACCTTCCTTGGTCAGTAAATGGATATAAGGGAGGGCGGTGGGACTTCAAAAGTTTGTGAGAAAAAGAAAATGTCCACTATCTTTTCTTTTCTTTTTTTTCCCCCCACTATCTTTTCATCCCATTTCCCCATGAATTGTTTGAAGCCATCTCATACTTCAAAAATGCATTCTTGTCATTGAGTTGATTGTGCCTCCTGGTATGCATGGTCAAATGGCTCCCTAGGGTTTTAAACTCTGCCTTTTCAGAAGTAAAGTATCAGGCCTTACTTCTGAAGGACCTCTGGGTGGGTCAGAAGCACCAACCTCCTGGTTAGGAATCCAGCATGTAACCATTTGTGCTATCCAGGGACTCCTTCGAAAACTTCTATTATTTTGGCGCCACCTTTTGCCCTCAAAAAGTCCTGGGTTGGGCAACAAATTAGAAGGTCACTCTGTCTATATGATCTGGCTAGTTGCCTCTCTACCCTGTGAACCTCTATTGGTTCACCCATCTCTGGCCTCCTCTCTGCCCTGCAGCCACTCCAGGCTGCTCTCCCTTCTGGATCCAATCACCTCCAGATATTGCCCGCTTCCCCACCTCCCATAAGTCCCTGCTCCAGGCTCATGTTCTCACTGAGGACTTCCCTGGTCAACATGTTAATTTTTGCTGGGTTTTCCTCTTTTCCTATCTCCGACCCTCTGCTTAATTTTTCAACAGCTTACTCTCTGGCTGTCATTTCTAGAATATAAGCATCAGTATAAACATTTTTTATTTCTCTGGGTTTTTTGTTTTTTTTGCTGCATCCCAGGCCTGTCTCGAGACAGACATTCAGTCACTGTTTGTTCCAACAAATGAATAAATGAATCACTGCCCCACCAACAATCACCACACAAGGTTGCTTTTGGTAGGCTGCATTGACTCATCACATCGTCTTAGCCTAGGTACCATTCTGTCTAGTTAAAGGGGCTTTGCTCTCACCATTTTGTTTGATGGTTTCCATCTGAGGCTGGTCTCCTCTGATGCTTTTAGGATTTGGGAGGTGGACACATTATTTGTCCACTTGTCCACTACTGTACTCTGTTTAGAATTTGACCCATTCTTCAAGATGACTGGTATCCTCCTGCCTTCTGAAAGGAGACCTTAAGGATGCATCCCCTTCAGGACGTGAAAACAGCCTCTAGCTCCAGATAAGCCCCAACCTTCTTGTAACATTCATTCTTTGTTCTTCCCTGTCATTTGTCGTAGGGGCAGCTGGTGTGTACGAGCAATATCCAGGAGCCCAATGTGTACAGGTACTCAACATTTTTTTCATTAAATCCTTTTCAAAATGAAATGATTAGATAACTGTTATCAATCCATGTTTGGACCCTAATTTGCTTTGCTGTTGTTTATCATTAGAACCCCATCACTCTCCCCCTCTTTTGAAGCATAGTCCTTGGGCAGACCTGGAACTCTGCCCTGCTCACTTGGCAGCTTCTCAAGGGTGCCTGGTTTCTGGACAGGTTGTTAAGGCTGGTGGGTCTTGCTATTTCCTTCACCACCTGGAGAAGTGCAAACAGTCCCAGAATCACTACAGATGGCTTTGGCCGTGTTGTGGCCCAGGCCAGGCCCCGTTTCTCTAAAGTGAAAGCACACCTGAGGAAACTTCAGATTCCAACACTATCAGCAGGGCTCAGATTAAACTGTGGCTGTGGGTTGCTGTAGTATTAAATTAAAAGTGACAAAGAGGGTGGGGTGCCAGCCCCCACCGCTAGTCGCGGGTTCAGTAATACTACTTCTGGGTTCAGTAATGCACAATTGTACGTTTGAGATATATAAGTATTATACTAAAGTCATCGAGAGCATGAGAGATAATACAATAATATGGTCAGACATATTACATGGTAGCATTGCTCACCTCTGCCCCGCTTGGTGTTCCTCGTGGGGGGAACCCGGCTGCCAGAGCAGGAGCCGCCTCCCTCACGGGAGCTGCCCTCTCGTCCACCGCCCTCACGGGAGCAGCCCCTCACGGGAAGCAGCCCTCCTTCCTCAGCCACCCTTGGCCAGCCACCCTCCCGAGAACCAGGTAGCCTCCTTATTTATTGCTAACCATGCATCATATTACTTTAGGGGGATACATCACAGCATCATGTATCACAGAGAGGGGCAATACAATTCACAACAACCTGCATCATAGAGAGGGGTTGTAACATAGGCAATACAAACAACAGGAGGAGGATGACCTAGTCATCTTAGAGGGTTCCGGGCTTGCCTTTGGGCACTGCTTCAAGGGAACAATAATAGAAAGGAATGGGCCCTATTTGGGGTGAGTCAGACTATACAGTCTGGTTGCTCTAGATGGCTGATGTTAAGGAGAATAACCTCTGACTTATTTTCGCTGTCTAAAGAACAGTCATTCTCAAGCTAAGTCTGGCATATATTTTGGGGAGACAATTTAAGAGAAATCCCTCTGTTCCTCACAGGTCGCCATGGTGGAATCTTTTTCTCTATTTGTTCAAACTTTTCTACATTGGGTCAAGTGATTTCCTATTCATAAAGTTGTGTATTGAAAGAGATTCACTTATTAGATCATTCCTACTGGCCCACATGGAGTCAACAGTCTTTAAAAAAAGAAAAGCCACTTCTTCACTCTTCAAGATCAGCCTGCAGTTTTTAAAATCAGGAACTCTGCTGTGAAACAAAAGGCTCACACTTTAGATAACAAAAACTCAAGCTTCGTAAAGCTTACCATCTAACCCAGTTGATTTCACCTCATAATGTGCCCATGAAGTTGTCCAAGTGGAACTGTCCCATAGCGTTTCCAAGGTTGTAAATCTTTACAGAAACCACCTGCCACATCTTTCTCCCAAGGAACTGCTGGCTGAAGGGTTTGAACTACCCACCTTGCCGTGAGCTGTCTTATGTTTACCCAACAGCACCATGAGTGTAACAGGACAACTTATTTGGTTTCCAAATGGAAGCCGAGAGCACACATGCGCAATGTGAAAGTACTTGAAAGGGAAGGACTCACGTTGTCAAGGAGTCTGTTTAAATCTCTCCACTTGAGGGCACTCTGTACTCTGCTGAGAGTGAGGCCATATTCCTAAGTTGTTTACTCCTGCTCCTTTCAGTTCCAGAAGGTACTGGATGGGCACCCCTCTATTTTCCCTATCTCCCTGACCCCTCCAGGATGCCCTGGACATCATGTATGGTTAAAGTGGAGGGGCCTTCCATGAGGCCTTCCATGAGATGGGATGGAGTAAGGCCTTCCATGAGATGGGTTGACACAGTGACTGCATCAATGGGCTTAGGCAGAGGAACAATTGTGAGGATGCTATGTATCGTTCTGTTGTGCCCAGGGTCACTATGGGTCGGACCCACTTGATGGCATCTAGCAGCAGCAGCAACAACAACCCTGACCCCGCAAAACAACAACAAAAGTAAAACAACAACAGAGGAGGCTAACACACAAAAAACTAAAACTCCAAACTGACTGCCATCGGGTCAGTGCTGACCCATAACGAGCCCTGTGGGGTTTGGAGACGTTGACTGTTTCTGAGAGTAGAAAAGCCCAGCAACTGTTGGTTTCCAACTGCTGACCGAAGCCCCACTCGTAACCACTGTAACACCAGGGCTCCGCACAATAGGCACATGGTACATTTTATTTCTTAAAATCTAGTGAACTAAATTCATAGGATTTTTGTTTTTGTTTTGTTTTCAATATAGGAACTAAGCCTTTAATAGGAAAACAAATGAATGTGTGAAAATGAAATTTGTAAACCCATCCAACCAAGTCATTTTCCTTTGTATCAGCCAATGGCACACGATTACTGATAATAATCTGGTCTTCCCTCTCCCCTGAAGTATGGGTCTTTGGCTATTTTCTACCAGATCCGGCTCCATCTTCTCTTGCTCTGCTCTGTAGTATAGGAGAGCTGTCACATGGAAGATGGGTCTTCCAGGGACTGGAAGATAAGCGGGAACTCTAGGGTAGATCTCCCCATTCATTCTTGCCTTCCAGCAGTGTCTCTGGTAATTGCTCTATCTTCTTTCTACCTTCAGCCACAGCAAGACAGTCCTAAAAACAAAATGAAACCAAAACACAAAGCAAAACCCCATTCCCATAGAGCTGATTCCAATTCACAAACCTTGGAGAACAGAATAGGACTTCCACATAGGGCTCCCATGGCTGTAATCGTTACACTACTGAAGCAGATTGCCACATCTTTCTCCCAGACAGGATCTGGTAGGATAGATGTTACCACTGATCTTTCAAACCACCAGGGTTCCCTCCTGGGTCCATTGGCTCTAGCTCTTCTCTTTTCTTTGTCCTTTTGACCTAAAAGAAGTAATGACTTCCTGCTATAACTGTACTTTGGGTTGTCTCCTTGTCTTTTGCTTCTTAGCAGTCTCCCTTGAGATAAGTTTCTGGATTAAATTATCTGTATTTACTCACATTGTTTATGTTTTCCTGGTTGAAACTCTACTGATACAGTTTCCAGTACTACTGTGTAGACCTATGTGGGAAAGAGATAGGAAATCCAGGTGGCCTTGTAAATATGTAATAAAACCCAAGCCAAACCATTGAGTTGATTCTGACTCACCTTATAGGTCGACTCTGGCCTGATAGGACAGAGTAGATTGTTTTCAAGTCTCTACTCTTTAAGGAAGCACACTGCCACATGTGTCTCCCTTGGAATGGCTGGTGGCTTTGAATCACCAACCTCTTGAATAAAACTCCTTTTTTTAAACACTGGATCACCAGGAATCCTTGCAACCCCCTGAGAGGGACTAAATTGGTCACTTGCAGGGACATTTTTGTTCCCGGGTTAAAAATAAATAAATTTTGGTTCTGACAGGTGTCATTTTGCACCTAGAAGGCTGCCTTTTACTTTATCTGTTGTTCCCCTGATTCTTTCCTGGTAGTTAAATACTCAAAGATATGTATGTCAGCAGTAGGACATGTGGCCAAAGGACCAAACCAAACCAAACCAAACAAAAAAAACCACTGGCCTCAATTTTATCCCAATTTATAGCAATGCTATTTAGGGTTTCTGAGACTGCAAATCTTTACAGAAGCAGCCAGCCTTTGTTTTACCTTTAGAGCTGCTGGTGAGTTTAGAACTGCTCATCTTGAGGTTAGTAGCCCAGTGCCTGACCCATAGCACCATCAGGGCTCCTAACTTAAAAGATTTCCCCTCCCCCCCAAGCCTCTTCTTGAGAGAGGATGATAACCATTTCCCTTCTACTTTTTTTCTGGTTGGTAGATAAATGCAAAGTCAGTGGTAACTCTGTGTTTTTGTTTTGAAAATGTTGGCTGCAAAATTTAGACTACTCAGTCATATTTATGACTTTGTATATAAATATGTGTATGTATGTGTGTGTGTGAGGCAAAATGCAATTGGTATGCCTTTTGGAGATTAGCAATGGTAGAATTTCCTACTTACAAATGTGCTTCATATTTGACTACTAAGTGGGAGGCTTGCAGTGAATTTATTGTGCTGCTCTTCTTGATTCCCGGATCTTTGGCCAGGCATTCACAACACTCTACCTTTCTCCCTTGAGCTTCTGACAGTTGCTGCAGTGGTTACCCAGACCTCACAGACTAGGTTCATGATGAAAGGAAGTTAACAAGTGAGAAATACAGTTGTTCATCAGAAGAAGTTACAAAGTTCTTTCAGGGCTGTTAATAAATTCCCCAAAAGTATGCCACTCCATTGTAAGCTTCAACCTAAGGGCATTCATCTCAAACTCCGGGGGTTAGCAAAGCAAATCCACTCACAAAGTGCCCAGGGGGACCCCACTCCAGTGAACCACAATCAAAAGGCACTCAGTTCCATTTCTGTGGGGCAGCAAGCCCAGCTCCCCCACCTACCCCACCTCTGTGCAAGTAGTCCCCAAGGTATCCCACTCCACAACCCAGCCTTGTGCCCCAAAGCACTTGGCTTTGCTTACCATATATACTCGAGGATAAGCCTACCTGAATATCAGCTGAGGCACCTACTTTTACCATAAAAAATGGACTGAAAAACTTGGCGTGTACATCAGTATATACGGTAACTCCATGAGCTCTTGGAAGTCCACTACTCTGTTTCCTGCTCTGGCTCCTGGTTCTGCTGCTGCTCTTCTGATATTACAGCTGTCTTCTGGATCCAGGAAGTTCACTGCACAGTATCTTGTTTTTTTGTGCTTATTATTATCTCTGCATGTCTATCTAGATAAGACAGGTGGGATAAACTATCTAGAGGAGATAAACTATCAGTGGGTGGGGTGGGGAATGACACAGGAGAGAGAATGGCAAGGAAAAGGAAGTGGGTGTTAACAAACCCAGGGACAAGGGAAAAACAAGGGATCTAAAATTGATGAGGAGGGTATAGGATGCCTCGCAGAGCTTGATCAAGGGCAATGTAACCAAGAGGAATTACTGAAACCCGAATGAAGGCCAAACATGATAGTGGGACAAGAGGAAAGTAAAAGAAAATGGAGGAAAGAGCTAGGAGGCAAAGGACATTTATAGAGGTCTAAATACAGGCATGTACATATGTAAACATCTTTATATATAAGGATAGGGAAATAGATCTCTGTACATATATTTATACATTCAGTATTAAGGTAGCAGATGGACATTGGGCCTCTGCTGAAATACTCCCTCAATGCAAGAACACTTTGTTCTAATAACCTAGAATTTCGTGATGCTCACATTCCCGACGTGATCGCTGAAGACAAAATGGGTGCATAATCAAATGGGGTGAAGAAAGGTGATGGTGTCCAGCTGTCGAAATATTTAGTGCCTGAGGTCTTAAAGGCTTGAAGACAAACAAGCGGCCAGCTGAGAAGCAACGGAGTCCACATGCAAGAAGCACACCAGCCTGTGTGATCATGAGGTGTCAATGGGATCAGGTTATCAGGCATCAAAGACCCAGAACAGAAAATCATATCGATGTGAATGAGGGGGAGTACAGAGAGGAGACCCAAAGCTCATCTGTAGATAATTGAACATCCCCTTACAGAAGGGTCACAAGGGAGAGATGAGCCAGTCAGGGTGCAGTATAGCACTGAGGAAACATTACAATTTTCCTCTAATTCTTTAATGCTTCCCCCACCTCAACTATCATGATCCCAATTCTACCTTACAAATCTGGCTTGGACCAGATGTTGTACACAGATACAGATAAAAGCTGGAAACACAGGGAATCCAGGACAGATAAGCCCCTCAGGACCAATAATGAGAGTAGTGATACCAGGAGAGGAAGGGGAAAGTGGTGGGAGAAAGGGGGAATCGATCACAATGATCTACATATAACCCCCTCCCAGGGGGATGGACAACAGAAAAGTGGGTGAAGGGAGACATCGGTCAATATAAGACATAAAAAAAAAATTATCAAGTGCTCATGAGGGAGGGAGGAAGGGAGGGGAAAAAATGAGGAGCTGATACCAGGGCTCAAGTTAAAAGTAAATGTTTTGAGAATGATGATGGCAACAAATGTACAAATGTGCTTGCTACTGTCCATGTATGGATTGTGATAAGACCTGTAAGAGCCCCCAATAAAATGATTTTAAAAAGCTGCCCATTCTTTGTTTTGTTTCATTAATTTCTTCTTGTATTTTTTATGTTCAATTATGGTTGTCTTACTTTTAGCTTGTATTAAATGCTTTATTTGTTTGGGGCCTTTTATTGTACAGTAATTGCACTTACGGCTATTTGTATAGTTTTCTCTCAATGACATTTACCTTCAACTATGAGGGGTGTGCGTGTTCTCATTGCTGTTTCTAAATGGTCTGAGAATTCAGTTTAATTTATTTCCCCACCCCAGGAGTTATTCAGCAGTGCTTTGTCTTTCTTCAGTGCCTAGATATTCCTGCGCACTTTTACTTGCTGCTAGCTAAGCATATGGCCTGTAGGATCTACTTCCTAGAATGTATGAAGGTTTATTTTATGTCCACAGACATTTTTAATCTTTCTAGAGAGTGAAGACGTTTTCCTTTTTTTTTTAATTAAAAGATCCTTTTATTGGGGGCGCTTTACAGCTCTTATAACAATCCACACATCGAATGTATCAAGCACATTTGTACATATGTTGCCATCATTATTTTCTAGACAGTTACTTTCTATTGAACACTTGGTATCAGCTCCCCCCTTCCCCCTCCCTACTGTCCCCCACCCCCACCCCTCACCCCCAACCCTCACCCACCCAGTGTAGAGATTTTTTTGAATAGAACTCTTATTTTTTGTGTTTGGACCCAAAGTTTTATTTGTTAATGATGCATCCACAATTATATGGATATAAAATCAACATCATGTATATTGTCTAGATCATCTATATTAGGAATCTTCAAAACTTTCTGCAAAGGGCTACATAATAAGTCTTTTAGGCTTTGTGAGCCAGTGGGTCTCTGTTGCATCTACTCAACTATCCAGAAAGCCCTTGTCGGTAACATGGAAAATGACTGAGCAGTTGGGTTTGGCCCTGGGTTCTCTGGTTGATGATGTCTAATCTATCTTGTAATCATTTGCCTTTGATCTGATGGTAACTAACAGAAGTCATTACCCTTTACAATAATAATAAATAAATAATGCTAGCATAAGAAAAATACAAGGCCAAAGCTCTATTCTCAGGGCTCTTTGTATCTAATTGTTGGAGGAGAAAAAGACTACCAGTTTCATGGTCATCTCTTTTCTTTATGCACATGAGAACAGCATCTTTTTTTTCTTCATTTTTTTTTTACATGACAAGAGAGAAATGGAGAAAAAAAGGCAAAGAACTTGTTCAGATTTTCAGTTTAATACTCATATTTAAAATACCTTCTGTCTCTGCTTATTGACTTTGTATCTAAGGTGAAGGGCAGGAAAAGCCTTTTGGGGGTTGGTATTTTATATGTGATTAGGCATTTGAATTTTTTTGTTATATACATGTATATATGTATTTTTTAATCATTTGTAGGGGCGCTCATACAACTCTTATCACAATTCATACATACATCAATTGTGTAAAGCACATTTGTACATTCGTTACCCTCATCCTCATCATTCTCAAAACATTTGCTCTCCACCTAAGCCCCTGGCATCAGCTCCTCATTTTTCCCCCTCCCTAGGCATTTGAGTTTTGATATGCTAATAAGGTTCTCTTGCTTTCTCCTGTAGTGAGGTCAAAGAGCAGAATAAATCGACACCACTTCCCAAAACCTCAGCAGCTGCTCAGCTGGACGAACTCATGGCCCACCTGTGTGAGATGCAGGCCCAGGTGAGTACAGCTCCTATGATAAAGCCTCCAGGGCTCAGAGAGCATTCGTTTATCTTCACAGAGCTCTGCTCTTCAATGCTCCTTTAGGGACTCTTCTCTATTGGAATTCATTTTCCCAGACTAAATATAATACAATGGAAGAGCTCAACTTCTGCAGCGTGTTATCTAGACATGAAAGATGATATGATATTGGCCTTGACCTCACGGAGTTTGGAGTTGGCTTGGTCAAATGAGGTGTGTAAACGGTTAAGACATGTGGAGTAAATATTAGGGAGATAGAGAGGCCATGGAGGTTTTATCAGGGAGGTGGGATGGTCCTTTAGGATGGACTCTAAAGGATGGGTTTGGATGTAAAAAGGTGGAAAGGTGTGGGGAAGATGGCAGTGGGGTTCTCTGAGTGAGCCCTGAGGTCATAGCCAACACAAAAGAGGTGAAATGTGAAAGGGCTGTTAACACCAGCTGCCTAAGCGGACTAGAGGAGGCCAGGGGCCAATCTGGGACAGAGCAGAGCAGGGGGAGATCAAAGCGTGGCTCTGAAAAGAAGAGGAGTCCCAAGTCCTATACTGTCATAACACCCACTTCCTTGACTAAGCGTGAAGGGTCAGCTTATATAGCCTGGCAGGGGCTGTAAATCAGATAAACAGGCTTAAATTTATATTAAGGGAAATATGGCCTGTAATTCTTAAACTACATAAGTTCTAAGTCTGATTGGAAGATTTGACACACACACACACACACACACACACACACACACGAAATGACTGTGGTGTACTTCCAAGGAGTTGTATAAAATCAGAAGGAGGGCAGGGACTTTATCTTTGAGGCTCATCTTTGTACTCCCTGTGCCTAGCACAGAGCCTGGTATATAATGCCACATCTCTATTAAAGGGGCAAATGAATCAACACCACAAACAAGTTTTCACTAATAACTGATGTTCTTTGATGGGCTGATGTCTACAAGCTAGGTGCATTGGCTCATTATACTGTATACCTGAAAATAACATGGCCCAAAAAAACCCCTTTAGGCATTTAATTATATTTTCTAATTGACTTGGCATATGTCATGGTTTACTTAAATTTTTAATAAAGTCTGATTTTTAAATAGGCATGCATTGACATTGTTTAGGAATCAAAAGTTCCAAAAAATATGTTGTGTGTTGTTGAATTTGTTCTGATTCATAGTGACCCAACAGGACAGACTAGAACTTCACAATAGTGCTTCATTGACTGTTATCATCATGGTTGAAAATCAGGAAAAGCGTGCATCAGCATTGTATCCTTTCATTCTTATTCAGTGTGTATGCGGAGCAAATTAGTTGAAACGCTCAATTATATGAAGAAGAACACGATATCAGGTTCAGAAGAAGGCTTATTAAGAGCTTGTGATATGCAGATGACACCATCTTCCCTGCTGAAAGTCAAGAGGATTGAAGCACTAGCTGATATAAAAATCAAAGACCAAAGCATTCAGTATGGATTGCAACTCAATGTAAGGAAAACCCAAAATCTACACCCGGAGAAAAGAATGAAGTTGTTAAAGATTCCATCTTGCTTACATCCACAATCAATGCTCATGGAAGCAGCTAAATTATAACTCAATGAATTCAACTTAAAGCATTTAAAAAATATTCAAGGATATTATGTTGGGCAAATCTGCTGCACAAGAGTTCTCTAAGGTGTAGAAGAGCAAATGTTTCACCTGGAGGATTAAGGTACACCTAACCTAACCCTTGGTATTTTCCATTGCCTCACAGGCATGGAAAGTTGGATACTGAATAAGGAGGACCAAAGAATAATTGATGCATTTGACAAGGATTAGTGAAAGTACCATGGATTTCCAGAGGTATAAACACATTTGTTTGGAAGAAGTACAGCCAGAGTGCTCCTTAAAAGCGAGGATGGCAAGAGTTTGAACATCTTATCAAGAGAGACCAGCCCCTGAAAAAGGACATCATACTTGGTAAAGCAGCGGTTCAGTGAAAAACAGGAAAACACTCAATGAGATGGATTGACGCAGTGGCTACAACAATGGGTTCAAACGAAAGAAGACTTTTGAGGAAGGTGGGCATTGTTTTATTCTGTTGTCTGTAGGGTTACTCTGAGTCAGAACTGATGTGATGGCACCTAACACAGGTACAGATTGCCAAGTTTTAGGTCCCCTCAGAGGCTTTGGGTAGGTTTGAACCACCAACTTTGTGGTTAACAGCCAAGTACTTAGCTATTCTGCTACTATGGTTTCTTTTTGGATTATACATGGAACTAGATACAAATATAATAGATATATGTAGATACAGATATAAATACAGATACAGATATAAATATATATGTAGATATCTATATAGTGAATGTACTATGGCTGTAGTTGCTGGTATATTCTTATGGTTTTGTGTAATTTATTTCATATACTTGATATTGGGCATCCCATCAGATCTTTCAGACATTAGCCATTTGGGCATTAACCTCTGAAATGCTAACTAGCTTTATATAAGAGAAGAAAAAAGAAATCTGCCAGAAGATGAAAATTTCCTGAGGGCAAATGAGCATTTGGGATCACTGAGATAACTTGAGGTTGTTCCAGGCAGTGAAACGAGGATAAGGAGAGGCCTGAAGGCAGACAGCACCAGAGCACATTCAGGAGCTTGTCAGGAGGCTGGCTGGACCTCAGGAATGGATGATGTCTTTTCCTGAGTAATGGAGCCCTGGTGGGAGAGTAGTGACAGGTTGCACTGCTAAGCACAAGGTCAGTGGTATGGAACCATTCAGCCACTCCACGGGAGAAAGATGGGGCTTTCTACGCCTGTAAAAAGTCAGTCTCAGAAACTCACAGAGGCAGTTCTCCCCTGCCCTGCAGGGTCGCTATGAGTTAGCATTGACACGATGGCAGTGAGTTTTATGCTTTGTTTTTAACTGAGTAATAAGATATTGGAAAGGTAAAATGAGGATAGTGAATACCTACCTATCTAACGAAGACGCATTGGAACGGCAGTTTTAGGTATATAGCAGTAGCAGTAACCTAGTTGGTGTGGACAGAACCAGAACCAGAACCAGGACACGAGGTGATCAAAGATAAACCAGGCATCTCAGTGGTGTTGTTTGCAAGTTTTCCTTTGGATGGTTTATAGTAAATGTTTTGGACTTCAGCTTAAATAAATCCAATCCATCAGCAAGTTTCTCCCCGCCTTCTTCCTTCACACTGGCCCAAGCTGTCATTTTTGGTCTAAACTATCATCAGCCTCCCTCCTAGAATCTCTGCTTTCACTCTACCTTGTGTGCACTCAGTTCTCCACTCAGCTAAAACAAGGATCGTATAAATTGTATTCGTTGACTTCGATGCTTGAAATGTCCAGTACCTTCCATTACACTTGGAATAGAGCCGACGCCTTTACCATAAGGCCGACGTGAACTGTGCTTTTCTCTCTTCTGTCCATCTCTCCTACCATGCGCAGTCTCACTCCCTCAGCACTCACCCCACGGGTCATTGCCCTCTTTGTCCAATGTGCCAAACTCTGTTTTCCTCAACTCCTTCCCTCCCTCGGCAATACTTTCCCTATACATATCGGCCAGTATTTCTGGGACCCCAAATGTTTGTATCACTCACACCTCCTCTGCTCAAATGTCACCTTCTCTTAGAAGCCTTTTATCAAGCCCATCGAAGTCAATACTTCCTCACCATCCCCCACCCCTCAGTGACTTCTATCTCACTGTAGAATGTAGAACTTTTCCTGACCTCAGGCCATCTATTTATTTGTTTAATTATTGATGATATATCCCTCCTTAGAATGGAAATACCAGGCGAGCAGATTTCTAGTCTTATGAGTGCATTGCTTTATAGCAAGAGCTCTCAGCAGACTACTGACAAGAGCCAATATCCATCTTAGAAGAAAGCAGCCAGAAGGACACCTGGCGCGACTTTGTGCATGCTTACTTTGTGCATGCCATCAGGACAGATGAATACTTTGGAAAAGATATCATGTCAGCAGAAACAAGTGAACCCTCAGTGAGATAGATCGGCCCAAGAGCCAAAACAAGTCCATTCAAACACACGACTGGTCGTGCAGATGACACCCGAGCAGACACTGTTATATCTAAGGTGGCTATAAACTAAGAGCCGACTGACTCTGGTGACTTCCAACAGCATCAACACAAAGTGCATAATAAATATGGCTGAATAAATGAATGCATGGCTCGATGTGATTGGTTGCTGATTTTAAGAGCCCGAAAGGATATAGTCTTCATGTACTCAGTTTTCTACAGTCATGGAAAGTTTGCACATGGGGGAAGACCAATGTTTATGTAACCTGAAAGGGAGCTGAAAACACTTTGGTTGGAATTAAAATGTTGGGTTGTTTCCCATGCGTTGGAGGAGGGAGGGAGAGACACAGTGGTCAATCAGTGGAGGTGAGCTTCGTGAGTCTTGCCCGTGAGGCTGATCCTCCTCGTGGTTCTTTTCTCGATATCAGGTGGAGGTGAAAGCAGAGGTGGGCCAGAAACACCAACTGGACAAGCCAGATCACAAGGCCTCCCTGGACTCCATGCTGGGGAATTTGGAGCAGGACTTACAAGACCTTGGGATCGCCACAGTGCCCAAGGGCCATTGTGCTTCCTGCCAGAAACCGATTGTGGGCAAGGTGAGACTGGCCAAGATGGTTTGATAGCCACCTGTGTCTGTGTGGTTGTCTGTCTCTGTCCTACCAAGATGGCGCATTCTCCTGCTCGTCGAAAACATTTGCACTGTCATTGTTTGTCGTTGAGTTTGTTTCAATTCATGGTGACCCTGCGTATGCAGTCCATTCTGGTGTACTGTCTGGGCAGGGTCGACCTGCTCCGCAGAGTTTCTGTGGCTGTAATTTTAACAGAAACAGATCACCATTTTAGTAGACGATTATGGGTTTTACTGACAGTGCTCTCGGCGTCCTCCTTCATTGGTCAAGTCAGCAGGCTATGATTGCTCCCTTTGCAAAGATAAGAAAACTGGCTTGCCTGAGGGGCAAAGATAAGATTTGAACCCACAGGACTCTAACTCCAGACTTTGAGCTCTTAAAACATTTTTTTTCCCTTAAAACATTTTTCTTTTGACAGCAACTCTCTGGTTGTTCTTTGCACCCAAGTAGTCCCTGTCCAAACTGATGGATGACAATTTTAAGGTGAGCTCAGTTACAAAGCATGGCCGAACACTTTTGCTCGGCATCACCTATCCTCCAAACCTTCCTTAATAAAGGGCTGTATTAGTTTGGGTACTTTAGAGAAACAAATCCACAGAAGCTCATGTGTAAAACAGAGTTTTATATAAAGGTTAAGTGCACATCAAGAAAACCTCGCCACCCAGTGATGCTCAAGCTCACAAATCCAACATTAACCCATATGTCCGACACCAATCGACAAAGTCCTCCTCCATCTCACAAAACACACACTATAATTCCGACTGTGGGAGGAATGCAGAATCATTGAATGTGTAAACATCTCAGTGCTGGCAGGGGTCTCCACATGGCTGCTCCAGCACCCAAGGCTGCATCGGGGTAGGTCCATGTGGCTTCTCCTCAGGGATGTCTTGCAGGAATTGAGCCTTGCCAGCTGAAGCAGGGAACTGGCTAAGGCAGCTGCACCCTGGTCCGACCATCAGAAAGCAAGAGACCCGAGAACTAGAAAGGCGAAGGCTCACTGAGACATTTATCTCTCTGCCCTTCAGTTAACCCCACATGTGTTTATCGGCTAGGTTGGCACAATAAACTATCTCAAGGGCCTTGAGTCTTGGCACTGTCTTGAGATGAAATGTTGGGACCAGCAAATGAAAACTGTTGTTGTTTGGCCTTCTTCCCTTTCTGGGGTTCCTTGAAGGCCAAAGCAGTAGTTGTCACTTTGCCTATTGCCACCATGTGCTATATTGGAGAGATATGGGTGACAAACTTTCATAGGCTTTTTGTCAGCATGACTGGTTAAGAGGGTAGGCCCCTCAGCCATCCACAGAGCATGGACGGCTGACTGTCTTAAGTGGAATCCAGGGGTAGGCCCCAGTGTTGTGGGGTTTTAGGATGTGTCATTTTCATGGAATACTGTGTGAATTGTGCCCTCTGGAGTTGTGTAACCTGTAGGCTCTAGAGCACCGACCGGGCTCCCATGCTTGGCTCTCATTCATCTCCAGGTGATCCAAGCTCTCGGGCAAGCATGGCATCCGGAGCACTTCATCTGCACTCACTGCAAAAAGGAGATCGGCGCCAGTCCCTTCTTTGAGCGGAGTGGCCTGGCTTACTGCCCCCAGGACTACCACCAGCTCTTCTCTCCACGCTGCGCCTACTGCGCCGCTCCCATCCTGGACGTGAGTCAAGCCCCCACCCCAGCCTCCTTTCATGGTGCTGCAAATCACCGTGCTGGTAGTCGACATGGCAAAGCTCCTTAGATGGGGTCTCCTAACTGAATGCGGATGTCGCAAAAACATGGCAGCAGTAAAAGGTTTCTGAACATGCAAAGACCAAAAATCAATCCCAAATCCAATGCCTAATGAACCCGATGTGTTTCTGGCAGCAATTGCCTCTATTGCGGCATAGCTTGGGCCAACAGGGTCACCAGTGGCAAAAGTTGTCAGATCCCTGCCAGCACTGCACATTCTCCTGCTTCTCCGTGTTCTCCTTTTCCAGAAAGTGCTGACGGCAATGGACCAGACCTGGCACCCCGAGCATTTCTTCTGCTCTCACTGTGGAGAGGTGTTTGGCGAGGAAGGTATGGCCCACATGCTATATCCCGAAGCCCAGGGGCTATTTAGAAGACAGGTGGCGCCTGTCCTTGTCACCCACTGGCTGCCTCATCTGCCTGGTGGTGGTCCTGGTTCCTGCATTACCGTCCAAGTGCCCACTTAAGTTCTCATTGCTTTCTCTCCCCACCTTCCCCCGGCACTTACAAGATTTGTTTACACTGACTTTTTAAATAAGAGAAATACAGCATTCATATATTATTCAAGGTTAATAAGGAAAAGGCATATTCTCTGCTTTTCTTTTCCCATTCCTAAATCCAGAAACCCTGGTGACGCTGTTGTGTTATGTTGTGTTGTTAATCGCAAGGTTGGCAGTTCAAACCTACCAGCCTCGCCACCGGAAAAAGTTGAGGCTATCTGCTTGTGTCAAGGTATGCAGCCTCAGAAGCCATATAGAGATAGGGCCACTAGGAGTAGGATTCTTGTTTTACCCCTACTACATCTAGTTTTCCTCTCCAAATTCCTTTAGCTAGTTTTTTCCTGTTACTTTTTGTTGCTTCTTTGTGTTTGTTTATTTATTTTTAAACATTTTATTAGGGGCTCATACAACTGTCATCCCAATCCATACACACATCAATTGTGTAAAGTGCATTTGTACATCATTCTCAAAACATTTTCTCTCCACTTAAACCCCCGACACTAGGTCCTCATTTTTCCCCTCCCTCCCTGCTCCCCCGTCCCTCATGAGCCCTTGATAGTTTATAAATTGGTATTTTGTCATATCTTGCCCAGTCTGACGTCTCCCTTCACCCACTTTTCGGTTGTCTGTCCCCCAGGGAGGAGGTCACATATAGTTCCTTGTAATCGGTTCCCTCTTTCCTACCCATTCTCCCCTTACCCTCCCTGTTTCGCCACTCACACCACTGATCCTGTAGGGCTCATCTGCCCTGGATTCCCTGTATTTTCAGTTCCTATCTGTACCAGTGTACATCCTCTGGTCTAGCCAGACTTGCAAGGTCGAATTCGAGTCATGGTAGTGGGAGCGGGGAGGAAACATTTAGGAACTAGAGGAAAGTTGTATTTCTCATTGTTACATCGCACCCTGACTGGCTCATCTCCTGCTTCTTTGTGTTTAAAGTAAGAGCATGTACACTGGTTTTCTATTAGAGAAGAGGAGGTTTGAAAAATATCATTACTGCCCCTCTCACTCTCAGTGCTTTCCACTCCACTCAATATGCAATCATGCCCGAAGTTCAGGAGAGAGGTGTTCAGTGTGCTTATGTTGTTGGCAGTCATGTAGGTATTGTTCACATTGAGCTGTGCAGCAAATTGTGGTTACCGTGGAGCATGGCATTGGGATCAGACTGCCTGGTTTATAGCTGGGTAGTGACATTTATTAGCTGGATGGTGTTCAAGTTGTTAACCTCACTATGCCTCGATTTCCTCATCAGTAAGAACCACTATGGATCATGATACACGTGAAGAGACATACCTGTGTACGTAGAACAGTGCCTGGTCCACAGTGTTATAACCCTCATTGGAGAGTCGTTCTGACTCTCGGTGACTCATGTGTTCAAGAGTAGACAGCTCTGTACTCAACAAACAAAACCAAACAAACTCACTGCCATCGAGTCAAATTCCAACTCGCAGTGACATTGGAGGACAAAGTAGAACTGCCCCTGTGGGTTGTCAAGACTGTAAATTGGTACCAGAGCAGAAAGCCTCATCTTTCTCCCTCAGGGTACCTGGTCATTTGGAACTCCTGCCCCTGTGGTTAGCAGAGCAAGTCATAACCCACTAAGCCAACAGGGCTCCTGAGAACTTCTCCCTAAGGGTGTCTTTTTGTTTTCGTCGTGTTTTGCTGGTTTCACTGTAATCTTTACAGAGTTAGATTGCCAGCCTTCCTTCCACCGTGCTGCTGGGTGGATTCAACTAGCCAACCTTTGGGTTGGTCGTTAATGCAAACTATCTGTGCTACCGAGAACCTTATGTGAATGATTGTTGTCCTTAGACTAGTGTTGTACTAGTATTAAACCTTATCCTAGTACTACCACAGTGGTCATTTCATATGACTTTTTTCCCCTCTGCAGTTAATATTTGGGTCCCTTTTCATTAACTTCCATTTTCATTCTACTTCTCACTAATTTATTTGGCAAGATTGTAAAAATTCCTCTCGAAATGACCAAGCACATCTGGTAATATGTCAGTTCTACCCCCTCCCCTTCTTTCCCCCAAACATCTTTCTAAGACACCTCTTGTTCCAGCATTCATCAGGTCTGGGCCATCATCCTGAGTTTTCCTTTCACCCCTCTCTCATTTGGATTCCATGTCTATTAAAATATAGGTTATAGCTTACATTTTATGAAATATAACTTCTAGTAGCTTCCTGAGAAAAAATGAACAGGAGGTAATTTTTTGAGACCATGATCATCTGAAAATGTGTTTTATCTGATTTTCAACCTTGATATAAGTTGCCTCGACTTAGCATTCAAGATAGAAACAATTTTTCTTCATAAATCTAAAGACACTGATTCTGTATTCTATAGTTGAGAAGTTTGGTTTTATTCTTATTCCTGGTTCTTTCTGCATGATCTGATTTTGTCTCTTTGTGAGTATGAGAAAACTTCCAAAAGTTCGTGGAAAAATGGCTCCACGTAGTTTTTCTTCTATTTGCCACATTGCCTCCCTCCATGTTTGTTTTAAATAAATATGATGCATGCCTAGGTCCAAAAACCATTTTTTATTATTTTCCTGTCTTTTCAAAATGAACTCAGTGGGAAACTTTCTCTCTGAAATAAAAACTAGAGTAATCCCAGGCCTTTTCTGATTAAGCTTCATAACAAAAGTTTTCAATAGAAAATCAATTTAAGGAAACACAAGAACTCAGTTCACAAGCAATTCAGTCTAGGTCATAGCAGAAGCTTCCCATTTATATAAAGCGACAGCTATTTCTTCTCACCATTGGAGCCTTCTGGCTGTAGGAGGTTAGGAAGGGAGTGTGGCCCTTCCTGGGTCCTCCATGGCCTCTGGCATCCCTGGCTTTTGCACCTGCTGCTGAGCTTGATTCCTGGCACCCCCAGACTGAAAGCATGTGGAGGAAGGAGAGCAGATGGAGGGCAGCAAAATCCTGGCTTGTCTGGGGCTCTCCTCAGCTGGCTCTGTGCTCTCAGTCAGGCCCTGGTAGATGTTTAACTTTCTCGTTTCTTGGTTGCTTTTGCGGACTCAGGACAGCCTCCACCACGAACCCTCAGGTGCCCTTTCCATGTCGGGGCTGGCTGACACACATCTATGGCTTCTCATTTTCCCCTCCGGCTGATTGCTACAAAGTTATTAAGATACTTCTGCGCCATTTCTTTTCCTCTCATTTGTGGGCCATGGAAAATTTAAACCTTTCTCTCTTGGGCCATGGAATTACAGTCAACTTTCCTCTGCATCTCTCTCTTCTGCTGCCAAAAGTCATTGTACTCAGATTGTCAACTGTAGCCTTTTCTCAGGGCTCAGTCAGAGAGCGTCAAGTATTCCACTAGAGGGGGACACCTATGGTGGAGGACCAGCCTCCACAACTGAATGGGCCCAAGGGGTGGGTGTGCAATTGAAGGGTAAATGAAAGGAACATCAGACAAGACATGCAAGGACTCACCTATTCCAGGGAGACTGGAACCAGAGAGTGAAAGCAGTGTATTCTCTCATAGGCTTATATAATCTCGGGCATATAAGCCACATCATACACATAGGTAACGCTGTTAGACTCTCACAGTGGTTCTCAACCTTTCTAATGCCGAAACCCTTTAATACAGTTCCTCATGTTGTGGTGACCCCCCAACCATAAAATTATTTTCATTGTTACTTCATAACTGTAATTTTGCTCCTGTTATGAATCAGGCGACCCCTGTGAAGGGGCTGTTTGACCCCCAAAGGGGTCGCGACCCACAGGTTGAGAACTGCTATGTTAGAGACATACATATAACAGGAAGGGGAGGTGATAGGGGTATACATGTAACAGGAAGGTACATGCATAACAAGATGGGCAGGGTCTAGAGTTAAGATGGTGGCTTAACCTTAGTCATTTCTGAGCTGGCTTGACCTAAAGTGTCCAGGTAAGTGATCTCTGGTCCTTATCAGAAAGGAGTGGACATACTCAGGGTCGGGTGGTCTGATCACTCTTGTTGGCAGACAACCTTCTAGTAGATACCCTTCATGCAGTTAAAATTCAAGGGCATATTAGCAACCATGTACTTGCAAACAGCACCTTGCAATTGGCATTATTATGGGGGATATTGGGGGAATAACTTATTTAGGAGAATGTGAGTGGGATTCATCTCCAACCCATGGACATGAAGGCCTCCTCCCTTGACCTTCCAGACTCCTTAAAATATGAGCGAAGAGAATTTGTTTGCATCCACTCTTCCTGGTTTTCAATTTCCCACAATCTACCAAGCTCTCTGAGTGGTCCCATGAAAGCCCATCTCGTGACATGGTGAAACAGCATAACTGAATGCCTCTGTTGTGATGGGGTACTTATGACACGGGTTTTCTCCAAAGAAATCCCTCTCAGATCTCCTTTTCTTGTTTACCTATTTCTTCTCCTCAGACGTGTACAAACTGTCCCTGGCAATCCAATACGGAGGACGTCTTGAAGCTCAGTTTAGCATTTTACTTCGTTTACATCTCGGTATCTTGTATCTTGTTGCACCAATCTTTGTCAAATGCTGCCAAAGAGGGTGTCACGGTCATGAGTTGTGTATTTCGAGTAGAGAGTCCAAGTTGGGATTTAAGCTCAGCCTCATTTCTTTTTTTTTTTAATTCGATTTTTTAACCGTTTTATTAGAGGCTCATACAACCCTTATCACAATCCATACATACATCAATTGTGGAAAGCACATTTGTACATTCATTGCCCTCATCATTCTCAAAACATTTGCTCTCCCCTTAAGTCCCTGGCATCAGGTCCTCATTTTCCCCTCCCTCCCCGCTACCCCCTCCCTCATGAGCCCTTGATAATTTATAAATTATTATTTTGTCATATCTT